TTTTGGTTTTGTTTTTTTCCAGACAGGGTTTTTCTGTGTAGCTTTGTGCCTTTCCTCGAACTCACTCTGTAGACCAGGCTGGCCTCAAACTCAGAGATGGGCCTGGCTGTGCCTCCCAAGTGCTGGGATTAAAGGTGTGCACCACCACTGCCTGGCTCCCATTTAAGTCTTTATACCAGTTTAATTAACTTCCTGTTTGGATAATTCTTTGTGGTTTTCTATGTGAGAAGCAAGGTTTATGGAGGGACATTTTATGTTAACTTCAAGTCTGTAAAGTGTCTAATTCAAACACGGGGTTAGTGGCTCACACAGCCTAATACCACCATAAGAAACACTGCAACTCAAATTACCCAGTATCTTAAGCATGTGAGAACACTGACAGGCTCTACGGAGTCACTAGACACTTTACCTAACAGCTCGATGCAACATTTCTAGTCACATACACAGATACAAATGAAGTAGAGCAGTTGCCAAGAGTTGATTAAGGGTGCAATGTAAGCGATTGAGCCTGCATGGTGAGTATTCAGAGACGGGTAATGCCTGGGGAGCACTCACCAACCTAAGACAGAGCACCTGTGTGGCCTGGGCAGGTGTCCCTCATCCCACGCAACCCAAATCAGAAGCTCATTTTTTAATAAAAGGGGGACCTGTAGGGCCCTGGCCCCCAGATTGGGTAACTGTTGCTTTGCTTGCGGACCTTGACCTTGATATCCTTCCTCCCTATGCTAATTCCCTGTCAGGTTCCACCCTCCTGAATGCTTAAGGGAAGTTCCTTGTCTGTGTATCCTGAATAATGGGCATTAACAGCTTAGATTCAAGATTGTAAAACATCAGTAGCGAACTTCTGCTCTTGGGGTCCTCCCATTGTGCTGTAAGCCTGTATTTAAGACCTCCTCCCCCCTTCAAGAAATGACATTTGGCATATATATATATAATTGATGAATATTGAGAATGTAATCTATGAATACCACAAATGTGATTAATATCATGAGTGTAATTTAAAAAATAAGAGTGTGATGTAAGAAACTTTGTTACCTGGCTTCAACTCACCATCTTGACACCTCAAATAGATTCTCAAATAGTGAAGAAAACTGATAAGATTCTTCATTAATTAGGACACAATCTTCTTTTAAAAAGCAATAAAAACAAACAAACAAAAAACAAAAAACCAGGGTCTCTACATGTAGTTCTGGAACCTATGTAGACTAGGCTGGCCTTGAACTCAAGAGATTAGCCTGCCTCTCATCTAGTGGAACTTAAAGTGTGCACCACCACACCAGACCCCCAAATATGTATTTTTTACATTTAATGTGGGTCAAAGAATGAACATGCAGCTGTGAAGGTCACAGAACAACTGAGTCACTCCTGTTATGTAGGTTCTCGGATGGGGTTGAGCTCAAATCAGGTTTGGTTCTGAATGCCTTTACCCACTGAGCTATCCTGACACTGGCCCAGTAGGACATTTCCTTTCTAGGGCTGGGGAGATAGTGCATATTATAACTTGAAATCATGTCAGGTAGAAAAGGTGGTTATTTCTAAATAACAAATGTTTTAAATTTCACTAAAATGCTTTTGCTAGTACTTAACTCTACATGCACACAATTGTCTAAAAATACACATTAATATCATAAAAGTTACATGCGACTGTTTGCATTTCTCTAGGCTTTGTGGGACGGTCTGTTCAAGCCTGATGACCTGTAGTTTGATCCCACGAATCCATAGTGGAAGAGAGGCAATTCCTGCAAGCTGTTCTCTGACCTCCACATGTATGCTGTGCCAAATTGACACCCACACACCATACCTACATCTAATTAAAAACAAAAAAACTCTAGCCATGACTAAGTCTCATGTATAAGAAAGATCTAGTGTTTAAAAAAACCTTTAACAGGAAAAAAAGTTCATGGATACTTCAATTCTGAGGGTTATACCACTTAATACCTGGAAATTAGTTGTTATATAAACGTACTATCGCTTTATAAATTGTATCTTCTTACTGCCCAGCCACCAAGTGAAGACTGACATTTAACAGAATGAGAGCTCTCCCATCCTAGCATCAAAAACATTGAAAAAGGATAAACTGTATGTACTGATTTTAAGAGATTAGGAAAATACAATCAAGTTGACAAGACTAAGTTTATTCTATAATTTTTATTAATAAAAGTTGACGATATAAAATGAGTGGCTGGGCTTATAGTTTGCTACACCAAAGAAATGTAAAAACCACTTAAGATGTTACAATAGCTTATGACAGAAATCCTGATAGAAGCATCTTAAGCTTGGCAGGTAGGTTTCCTTTGACTATATAAAACTAACCCTTATAGTTACGAATGTGAATCATTAAAACTACCATTTGAATTTTAAAAAAAAATGATTTCTAAGATCTGGTTGGTGGTTTCAAAGCCAAACTGTAGAGAAACCACCATCTGGAAAGTTACCCAATCAAAAATAGCTGATCCTTCTGGATGGACAACTATGCAAGCCAAAGGAATAACAGACTAGGAATGCACCCAAGATCCCCAAATAAATTAGTAAAAGTGCCATTAAGAATCAGACATATCATCATTGTTTAAATACAAATTCAAGTCCAAAAGATACAGTAACTTTATTACATAAAATTTCCCCTGTGTGCTAAAAATGTTAACGTACAAGACATATTTGTGTAAGTGTAGAGGGAATTGTGGTGGTGTTGTTTAATCATTTTTCATTGCTGAAGAACAATAGGCAGTGGAAATATATAAGCACGCAGAGTCCTCTAAATTCAACATTGTTATATTCCTGTTCAACCAAAATATACTACCATTCTCATATAAATGCCTGCTCATTCATCTTTTAAAAATAAAGTCCGTTCTCTCTCCATAAAGCTTCCTGCAGGACTGACCAAGGTCAGTCCCACGCTAACTGGGGCACTCTCCATCTTTGGCTAGGGCCTCAGCACTGGGACAATGTGGGTCAACACACATCTGGTGCTTATGCAGCTGTTGCAGTCCGTGCAGCACTGTACCTTTAAAAGCTTGTCCAGAATGTACCTTTAGAAAGCCAAAAGAAAAGATGTATCTATGGCAAAGTACAATTCATCCTGATTCCAGAGCAATCAGAACAAGACAGCTCTTTAGTGCAGCTGGGGTTTCATCTACCAAGTTACTTCCAGATGGAATTCCACTCTGCTGTGCTCGAACAACAAGAAGTCAGCTCGTCTACTTGGTATTTCCTAAGGCAAAAATGAAATTAAGCACTGGAAGAAGACTCCAGAGTGAAGCTCTACAACCGTGGTTCTCGTTTACAGCAAATTCATTAACAGATGAATTAAGTACAGACACAAAACACAGAGCCCTCTAGCATCTCTAGACCGTGAACCCTTAACAATAACATATGTTTAACGCATGGGCGCACAGAACCACGCCTCTCTGAGGCTCCATGGAAAAGAACACTTGTTTAAAATAGTTCATAAAAATACCAAGGAGACAATTGAACCCATTTCATTTCATTGCACCCAAGAATATGACACAAAATATTGGTTTAAAGAGGTAGATGAAAAAGAAAAAGAAAACCAGATTCTCCATTCTTTGTCACTTTTATTCAGTAGTAGGTTTTTTTTCCTTATTTTCAGTGCCAGACATGGCAAGGAGTGATTACAGCCAACTGTTATTAAAACATTTGTTCGCAACATATACCCCCATTACCACTGACCCCAAACTGACTCATTTTGTGTGCTTTCGTTCTTCCATTTTTTAATATGCCACCACCGAGACCAGGTGGAAAGGGCAAGGGTAAGAGATGGAGGGGAAGAGTCCAGGAGGTCAGAGAGGAGGAATGCTACAAGCCACAGTAAGAATGAGCTGTATTTAATTTAAAAAAGAGAGGGGTGTACCCCACAAATGATACAGTAATGAGGATACACAAATCCCATAGCATGACTGAAGGCGTTCACTGTGTTTGACGTCATCACAATGGAAGGCATAAAAAGTGGAGTACATCAATGCTGACACAGTCCAGTCCAGTCCATCAGGCAAGATGGTGCAAGAAGTCATTAAATTAAAAGTGCCCTGCCCTTCCCTAATGGCTAGCAGACATGGAGAACAGCCCGGGATGCATCCACACAGCTTTCTCCATGTGGCTATCAAATGTGTTGTCGAATGGCACACTGTCAAACACTGGAAAGGGGTGCCACAATGGACCGCTCTCTTATAGGTATGAATGCTAGATTCAACTATCTCACTAAGCAGGAAGTGGCTCCTCTGCTAGGATTGCCAGCCTAATTCACTTTGTCTTGAAATATGTACAGATTGTTTGTAGTCGCTACAGCAATGATGTTCTCCTTGGGGTGCCAGGCTGTATGAAGGATTTTCTTGTTGAAGTCTAGGCTGTCAACACTTATTTCATCTTTCTTTCGCTTGCCGCTTGCACAGACTTTACGTGGCTTCAAAACCGTGCGGGGCTTATTGTTTTCCCGTGATGCCTCTAGAGTTATATCCCGCTTTGTGTTCCTGTCGAACATTCTGAAGAAATTATTGTAGGATCCAGTCATGACAACACTGTAAAGGTAGAACACCCAATCAAACTGTTAACGAGAGACTGTTTACTGTAACAAGTCAGTGACCAACCTGGCCTAGCACTCTGCAGGAAGTAACTTTTTTAAGCTTATGTGAATTAAGACATAGAGGCTATTGATACTGAAACAAACACTCGAATCCCCCCCACCCCAAAAAAAAAACCAAATTTACAAAACTGAACAAAGCTGATAACACCCAAGTACATTTCTCTTCTTGGTATGAATTACCTTCATTTGGGTAATTTTTGCAACTGTAGGCCATGTAACCAACCAAACTAGGGAGCTTCTAGAAGTAGCAACCTATGGAGTTCATTCTAACCTCCTCTAAAATGGGGAGGAAAAAAAAAAGGTTGTTGCTATGTTTCATGATGTAAATTATGACTTATTTTACTTGCCCAGATCATCTTTTTTTTTTTTCTCATTATACAGCCCAGATTGCCCTCAGAATAACCCCCCTGTGTCAATATTCCTAGTACAGGGATTATAGGCATGTATTTACCAACTCTAGTTCAAATGTTTTATGACATTATCTTACAATACGACAATTATGACATTAGCTTACAATAGACCTTACTCAAGGAAATAACATAATATCTTCATTAACAAAAAAAAATTATTGTACCTGTAACACAATACATTTTTTTTTTTTTTGGATTCTCAAGCAGCCCAAATGGTCTCAAAACTCACTATGTAGTATAAGATGACCTTTTGTCCTAAATGCTGTGGTTTCGAGTTGTGTGCCAGGAGACCTATTTTCCAAACACACCTTAACTAGTCACTTGCTCAACTTTCACTAAATATCTTCGAAAGCCAATTTTGACATCTGAAACCTTTCGAGTTTACTCACCTTTCTACTTGAGTCACCGAGTCTCTATAATGGTTGTGCATAAGGCAAACTAGGGACTGGTCAGCTAATATATGGTGTGTCACAAAGGATTCGGAGCATTCAGCATGTCAGTCCCTCAAAGAACAACTGACTAAATATCAATCCAATTCAGGACGGTGCATATCTGACAACAAAACTCTGTTTCTTTAAAAATGATGTCATGAATTAAGCTGGTGGTGCCCCCCCATCCAGCTTTGTAAAGTTTGTATGTATAGAACCTATATTCAATGAGGAAATGCAATGCTCACACTGAGAAACCATCTATAAAACAACTTATTTTGTAACAGAAAATTCTCAGGTTATGAAAGACAAGAAAGGACTGAAGAACTCTTTTAAAATAAACAAATCATGACACCATGTCACTTTAGGACAAGAGCAGGGTTCTTCCTGCCATGAAAGGACTGAGACCACCTGGTGGCTCACTGAGTTCTGGACAGCACTGACCAAAGCCGGCTTTGAAGCTGGAGCTGGGCAGATGGGGTCTCTGTCCTTTAGGAAGTGGTGTGGGGGCTGAGAGGGTTTAGTGGTTAACAACACTTTCTGTTTTTTACAAAGACCCAGGTTTCTGTTCCCAGCAGCCCACGGTGGCTCATGACCATCTGTTACTCCAGTTCCAGAAGATCCACTCCTCTTTTTTGGCCTCTACAGGCCCCAGGCACAAACATGCTACACATATATGCAGGCAAACATTTATACACATAAAATTAAGATAAACAATCAAAGTTTGAAAAATAATTTTTCAACATATAATTTAAAAGGAATTATTCCAGACATCTTTTTTGTGATTGTGTGTGTGAGAGAGACAAGTGGAGGTCAGAAGACAACCTTCAGGGATTGGTTCTTCCTTCTACTGTGGGTTTGAGGAATCCAACTCAGGTTGTTGGGCTTGGAAGCCTTTTTGCTGTGTCCCTCACCCTGCCTGCCCTCAGAAAGTATTCTGAATTTGAAAATCACTCCCTTGATGATGGAAGGGAACTGAGACCTGCTAACCACACAGCTCCCAGCCATGGGGAACTGGCTGTACAGATGCCACACCTATACACCAGTATGTTCTCTTGACATCTGTCCTCCCTGCCTCACATTTAGTAATGACATCATAGGCACTTACCCTACAGCAGCTATCTGAGGAGGTAATCAGCCCATTATTGGGCCTCATGTGAAACTCAGGTAATTATAACTTAAAAGCCAGATTAAAAGACAAGCATCCCAAGTTCCAGGGCTCTCTGTAATGGCTAACACCAAGAAATCTGAATCATATCAAGCTTTTAAAATTCGACTACTACCTAAAGTACCTGTAACTGCTTTAGATATAGCCTGAAGTAACTTCAAAACTATGCTTTGCTTTAATCAGAATATAGTAAGCAGTAAGTGCTTACAATAACATACAAATGATTGCTTCTGTGAAGTGATTGATTTATTTTATTTGATGTGCATGTGAAGATGCCCTGGAATGTGAGTTACAGACAGTTGTGAGCTGCCATTTGGGTGCTCTGGAAGAGCAGCCAGTGCTCTGACCTGCAGCCTGCATGAGTGGAGTACTAACAGGCACTCAAGTACAGCACTGCACCAGTCCCCGCTCCAGAAACAGTTCTCCAAACAGCAGAGACAGTCAGACAAACCCGCCACTTTAACTAACTGCTGGCGCATCAGAGGTGTGACTGGTGTCTCAATGTTTCTGGAAACCTGGTCTGTGCGACTCAGGCTGTCATCAGACTCTGAGCTCAAACACTCCTCCTGCTTCAGCTGCCCAAGTAGGTGGAACTGCGAACATACTGCACTTGGCTAGCCATGTTATTAATGTGACTCATAAAAAGAGGGGGCAAGATTTTAAAATGGTAATTTAAATACCTCTAACTTCTTGTTACAGATCTCTTAGGCTTTGCTTTTACTTCGAAAGTCAATGCTTTGGTTTTGTCACTATAGCTCTGTGATGACTAGGTTTATTTCACAAGTACCTGGAAGAAAAACGAAGGACGCCTAACTTCGGTCAAAAAAAAAAAAAAAAAATCAGTCATATTTTTACCTAGTGTGACAAGAGGGATGAAACAGCAAGTTTCTTTCCTTACCTGTCAGACCCATTCCAACAACATTCAAATTTGTCAAATATGCAGTCATTTTCATACAGAGAACAAAGTTTACTTCTGAGGTATTCATGTACCTGAGGAGAAAACACATACTCAGTTTATTTCAGCTTATTTTCCTCTCAAAACAGGAAAATAACCAAAAATCCATTTAAAGAGTGTGTATCCAGAATCACACACCCTCTAATCTTACTTCTCCTAGTCCTTTAGGTACAACTGAGGAAAACCACCTTTCTGGGCATTTCGATGTACCCTGACAAGCCTAACTAAAACATCTGATTATTCAAATAAGAATGCACACCCCTCCATAGGTTCATATAGCTGAATGTTTGGTCCACAGTTGGTGGTCTATTTAGGAAAGATTGGGTAGTGTGCATTTTGGAAGAGGTGGTCACTAGGGGTGGGCTTTGAGGTTTAAAAAGCCCAGGGCAGCCCAGTCTACCTCTGCCTCCTGCCTGTGAATCAGATATAAGCTCTCGGCTACTTTTCCACCACTATGTCCTCCTGCCTGCTTGCTGCCCACATTCCCCACCATGATGAAACTCCTAAGAAAGCCTCCCTTTAAATGCTCCCCACCTTCCCTCCCAGAGACAGGGTTTCTCTGTGTAGCACTGGCTGCCTCAAACTCAGAGATCCATCTGCCTCTGCCTCCCAAGTTAAAGGCCTGTACCACCACTACCCATCTTTCATGTTTTCTTTTATAAATGCCTTGGTCATGGTGTCTCTTCACATAAATAAAACAGGAACTGAGACATATAAGCCAGAAGGTAATTGAAGATGGCAGGTAACAGACTAACAAAAGAAAGTTGCAACAGAATTTAAATTTCACTTCACACTCAGTCCATTACTGCTGATAAGAATGTTGCAGCCGGGTGGTGGTAGCGCATGCCTTTAATCCCAGCACTCAGGAAGCAGCACTCAGAAGCAGGTGGATCTCTTGTGAGTTCGAGGCCAGCCTGGTCTACAGAGCCAAGTTCCAGGACAGGCTCCAAAACTACACAGAGAAAACCTGTCTCAAAAAAAAAAACAAACAAACAAAAAAAGAATGTTGCTTCCTTTCCTTTAAGTACCATTTTCTGAACACAAATTTAACTTTGGTCTATTATTTTAAATTAAATATACAGTATGGCAAGGCTTTGGCTTAGTGACAAACTGATTTCTCTCGGCTGTCTGTCCTCATCTCCTCACTCATTTACCCACATCATTTGAAAATTCAGTAATGGGCTATGAAATGGCTTGGTGGGTAAATATACTTGCCACCAAGCCTGAGTTTGATTCCCAAGATAAGCACATTAGAGAGAACTGAATCCTGAAAGTTCTTCTCCCAAATGTGTGCTACACATGCACACACCACACTCACAAAGTACAATAAAATATTTGAGTGTTGCTTCCTATTATTTATTCAATATAAAAAGCCAACAAAGATGTATCTGTTTGAGTTGTAATTCTACATTTACTAATATTTAAAAAAAAAGGGGTAATTTTGGAAATTAAGTTGGATAAACTAGAAAATAAGCAAATCTACTCTTTAAAAGAAGCATGGGATATTTCCACACAGACAGTGCTTATAGGCATTTCCCAGTTCCTGTGGGATGTCTTTCTGTATGTTGTGAATAAATAAAACGCTAATTGGCCAGTAGCCAGCAGGAAGTATAGGATAAGCGGGACAAACAGAGAGGAGAGGCTGGGAAGTGGAAGGCTGAGGCAGGGAGACACTGCCATCCGCCACTATGAAAAGCTAGATATAAGGTACTGGTTAGCCACAAGCCACGCGGCCACTTATAGACTAATAGATACGGGTTAATTTAAGATATAAGAACTAGATAACAAGAAGCCTGCTGCGGCCATACAGTTTGTACATAATATAAGCATCTGTATGTTTATTTTATAATTGGGCTACGGGACTGCCGGGGCTTGGCAGGACCTGGAGAGAAAAACTCTAGCTACACCCAGTGTTTGCTGAGATCGGAGAAAAAAGAAGTGTCAGTCGTCAGCCATTTCCTTTTTGCTGAATAAGAACCTTAAAAAGTGACAGCCCAGTACACACCTTCTACTTGTCTATTTATGCTGCCCAGGTTGGTCTCAAACTTGGGGACTCTATAACAATCCCCCTGCCTCACGTTCCAGGGTTTTGGGATTTATGTGTGCATTAGCAAGCTCATTGTAAATGTTCACTTTACTTGATGTAAGTACCAATAGATTCCAGCCATGTCTACGACATTAAGTAAAACTTTCTAACACTCAGAAATTGCAACTGATACAGAATTAGGACAGGATTGGTAGAAAGAAAAGCAGACATCAGAAATAGCCTCCCAGTCTCACAGGGGCCAGCAAGACGCTCTGCCATAATGTGGCATCTTCCTCAATAGATAATCCAATTCTACAGGCAGAACAGCAAGTCAAGTAACATGTAAGGTAGGCACCAAATCCAGCATTTACATTGGTGCAGGACCTCTCCCCAAACAAGAGCAGACTATGAAGCTAGGGTCTCAGTGTCATGCATAGGGAAGACAGCTAGAAGATGTAGCTCTCCCGGATACTGCCAACACTTTGAAAACAAAACACTATTTCACTCTTTGATTTTGTTTCAATATAACATTTATTTTGAAATTTGAAAAGTTAGAATTCACAGAGATCACTGCCTCCTGAGGGCTGGGATTAAAGGTGTGCACTGCCACCACCCAGCTGAAAAGCTAGATTCTTGAGGGCTGTGTGTTTGTCCTAATTTTGTAAGTACCGTGCATTTCCTAAGTCTGCTCCACAACACTGCTTTCCACACCCGGGTCCACAGGCTCTGCTGGGCTGGCTTGTGCTGCACTGCGAACCTCAGTCTCACTTGGGTCAAGGATAGTAGCTATCTGACATGGAGAGAATACTGAACTTACATTCTGCACTGAAGAGGTAACTCCTAAAGCCATCGGCTGAGAATTCGGGCCATTTTAAACTAGAAACGATTAGCCAAAAGGTAGATGAGTCATACAATTGGCGGGTCAAATTTAAGCCCTGGTTCACTATATTCCACGCTGTCTATCTGCTGAGTGTTGCCCACACTTCTCATTTCCATGTACAAAGCAGCATACCAAGTAGCCAATATTAAACCCATGAGTTAACAAAATTAAGTTTACCTGCAATCCTGAACAGACAACATACACTTTACAGACAACAGTAAATACATTCATGGCTCTCTGAGAGAAATGGATCATTCCCAACACCCTGGAGGAAGCACCTCTATACACTGTCCACAAGTATACACCCTTCAATAGAAACACACTGCAAATACCTGGTATGTCTCCACAGGCCTGTTTTCCATATTCAAGTCCCAAATTTTGACTGACAAATAGTCTCTAGTCATCATATAGCGACCACTATGGCTGAATTTTACATCAGAAATAGAGGAGATGATTTCAGAAAAAAATGACCTGTTGCTGGGATCTTCGGGCTCTTCAAACACTGAAAACAAAGGAGAAAAGTTTAATATTTCCTAAAATAATCACTTAAGTGAGGGGGGAAAAAAATCACAAACTGGGGCTGGGGAGATGGCTCAGTAGTTTAGAGCAATGACTGCTCTTCCAGAGGACCTGGGTTTCAATTCCCAGTGCCTACATGGCAGCTCACAGCTGTCTGTAATTCCAGTTCCAGGGGATCTGACACCTTCACACCAATGCACATAAAATAAAGTTTAAAAAATCCTTATTTAAAAAAAAAATCAGACTGATCCACAAAAAATTAAACATTTTGCCAGCCTTGGAAACATGTTTCCTCACAAAATCTTTTTAGAAAAATGATGACTATGAAGTACAGAGCCCTGCTAATGTAGGGTCTGATTTGCACAGGATTCACATGGGACTTTTTACATTAGTGCACAATCTGCCTCTTATTGGTACTCTGGAAACTCCCCCGTCCCACCCATCCAAATCTCCATCCGCCTCCCCCACCCCCACCCCCATATAAGGATTTTGTTAACTGGCATGTATCTGAATTTTTGAATGTAACCAAAGGCAAGAAAATAATTTTACAACTTCATTCTTTTATTTTAGATGTATGATGTGTGTGTATATATATATATAATTACGTATGTAAGTGTACTATGTGTGTGCAGCGTCTAAGGAGGCCAGAAAAAGGTGTTCAACTCCCTGGAACTAGAGCCACACATTCATAGTTTTGAGTTGCCATGTTCTTAAACTGATGAGCCTTTTCTCCAGCCTCACTCACTTTAATGCCAATGTTTCCCCAATATTTTATAAGGATAAGAGAATCTTTCGTCGGGGGGGGGGGGGATAGGGGCTTTTAGTAAGTTCAAAAGGTTAAGAAAGGAAGGATAAGAAAGGAAGGGAAAACTCAACCACACCTCCATCCCCACCAGACACTCCCACCCCAAGTGCTTCCTGTGGAATAAGCAAAGACTCAGATGGTGTTGGGCAGTTACCCACAGGCACACAGGCCAGGCTGAGTCTGAGTAGACCACTTTAAAGACAGGGCAGAAACAGACTTACATTTAGAATGCCTGTCACAGAGCGCAGATGCCCTCATGTCACATAATCGAATAGTTCCTTTACTGCTGCTGTACACGAATGTGTTACAGCTGTTGGGATGGAATTCTGCTGCTGTAATCACCTCTGTGAGCTCTTCCATATTGGCAGGCTTGATATCCACAATATCTAGACAGCATTTCATTAAGGAATCTCCACTCAGAAAAGGGCAAATAACTATTTCTTCTTAATGACACTCTACCCCCTTTTATGAGCAAACCCCAGAAATGTTAAAAGGTGTTTGTTTTTTGTTCTTTTTTTATTGAGAGTCTTACCATATATATAGCCTATGCTGGCCTGGAACTCTTGTTCATCCAGCCTCAGCCCACTCAATGCTAGGATTGTTAAGACAGCACTATTACACACATGCAGTAATAAATCTTTAAACAAGTTTCATGTTCCAATGTTAATGAGAATATTTTTGTAATTACAATCTTAAATATATTAAAAATGCAGGAAAACACTTGATTTCAATTTTCTTAGGCACTAAAGAAATTCCCTAGAACTCCATAGATTCTATTTTGGGATTACCTCATATGATACTTATTTTTATTTTCTCATTATGCTAACTTTTTCTCGGTTTTAATTACTTAGTGGGGAGGTGCCACAAAGATAGAAAGTCATTACAAAGCAAAGGACTCAGATACATGGAGAGAGAAGATAAATCTAATATGGACACAATATTTCTTTACCAAACACCAAATTAAACAAATCAAATGGATACTAAAACTCCTGTCTGTAATTTCCAGATGCCAGAGATTAATCCGCAAATCATCCGCTGATAAGTAGGTTTCGTAATCACTATTGATAGAAATTGAGTTGATGTGGTAGGTATGAGCATTGGCAAATATTCTCCGTGGACTGGCCTCCACCATTAGATCCATGGGCCTAAACACTGGCACCTGTCAACAAAAATGAAAATGCAGATTCACAAGACCATTACTCTACTTCTGAGAATACAAAACACAGGAGAATTAAGAATGGGGTGTTTTTTTGTTTGTTTGTTTTAAAGCCACTGATGTTGGTTCTGTTTAAGCACCAAAATGGGAGAAAGAAAAATAATCTGAACAGGAAGAAACAATACTAGCTTACAAATCATAGTCCTGGTATAAAACTAGTACATGTTTATGGTTTGAATTAACAAGGCTAAAAAGAAACCCAGTTTCTTATTCTTAGCATCTTTGGCATAAACTGTAAGATTCTGTCCATTTCCACTTTCTGAGCTCCAAAGAAGCTTCCACTGTAACGACTAAGATTCCAACTCTGAAAGTCAAAACAGAGATAGAATAGTACAAAACAGTCTATGTGCCGCCCAGCTCTGTCCCCAGCAGCAGTTGAGACTTCTCCATAGATGTTTTCTGTTTCAATGAGAAAGAGACAGTATCCCATAAAGAACTGTCCACCCGTGGGGCTGGGAACAGAGCCCCAATGGTATCTGCTTGGTAGCCAGGCTACACAAATACTGACAAAAATCCAATCCGAGGCAGTTTTCTTTCTTTGAAGTCGGGGTCTTTCTAGGCCTGACTGTCCTGGAACACACACTATGAAGAGCAGACTGGCCTTTGCCCTGCTGTGCTAGAACTGAGTCGTTTTTATTAAGTGCTTACCCGTAAGGTAGTGACTGTAGTAGGATCTCTATACCTTCCATCTTCCTCTTTCAAGTTATAACCTTCTGGTCTTTTGTCTCTTTCACTGATTTTCCATAATTTTATTGTTTTATCTGGGGAAAGAATGAAGAAAGTCTTAAAAGATGGCAGGAAAAAATAACTGATAGAAAAGCTATTTTAAAATCCTTTAGGTATGCCATATAATAATTCATGTAAAGAATCTTTACTCCCCCACCCTCTCTTTCGACAAGGTTTCAGTGGATAGCCTTGACGATCCTAGAACTTGCTATACAGACCAGGCCAGCTTCAAACTCACAAAGATCTTCCTATCTTTTGTCTTCCAAATGCTGGGATTAAAGGCACAAGCAATCATAGCAGGCTTTTTGTTTTGTTTGTTTGTAGACAGGGTTTCACTCTGTAAACCAGGCTTCCCTTTTGCTGGGATTAAGAGCCCCCGCCCCCTACGCTTAACAACAACAAAAAGAATTCATGTGCCTTTTCATCATCAAGTCTAACTACAGTTTCCAACTTTCAAAAGTAAATGTATATGTATAAACACATGTCTATGTGCACAAGCATGTGTATGCATACTTGCCCAGCATTCAATGTTAAAGGTAGAAAATACGCAATGGATTCAGCACTTCCTATTACTGAGTTCAACTGGCAAGGCCCAGCTCCTTGGATCCCATCCCAATATATCTTATGGAAGAACAGAATCCTTGATAGCATAGGATAATTTCTTTGAATTTGCCCATTCTCCTCTTGGATCAGTATTCCCTAAATACAAAACAGGGACCCGAAAAACGGTGATTAAAAGTAAATCCTGACTGGGCGATGGTGGCACATGCCTGTAATCCAAGCATTTAGGAGGCAGAGGAAGGCCTATCTTTGTGAGTTCAAGGCCAGTCTGGTCTACAAATCAAAGTTCCAGGACAGCCAGAGCTGCTACACAGAGAAACTCTGCCTTGTGTGTGTGTAAATCCTTAACCCCTTCAAGACAATAATCCCTATAAGGGATTATACAATAGCCCACTTAAATATATATATAACCTTGGAATAAATTTAGACTTATAGAAAGATTCAAAGATAGGTGTATTCTCATATACATTTTACCCAGTCTCTCTAATGTCAACATCTTAAGCAACAATGACATACTTGTCAAAACCATGTATAATACTAGTGAAACTAAGGTATCCCTGAGATTTGAGTAAGTTTCCTATTAACGCCCCTTTTCTGTCCCAGGATCCAAATACCACAGCATTTAGCCATCAAGCCTCTTCAGTCTTTGAATCTGTCTCTCAGACTTTGATCATTTGTTTTTATCTAGACAGCTGTGAGCAGTGGTTTCTGAATGTTCCTCTTTGGAGTTTGGAAGGACACAATGGTGAAGTGATCTCTAAGCTTATTCTACAAGAGTACAGACTCTGTCAGCATAACTTATGGTTGGCGGCTGATGCTGCCAGGCTTCTCCACAGCACAGTTGTACACATGCTCACATGATTCTTTGAAAATAAAATCTACCCATGTGTTATTTGTAATTATTTACTATGGATTCATATATGTATTTAGTTATAGTTCTAAAATGGTATTTTTTTTTCCAAAAGCAAGACATCTCTAATGTTCTTACACACGCAAAATTGAATATCCTAGTTTTAAATAGCTCGGAAGCCATTTTACAAGTGGAACAAAACAACTGCTCCAGGGAGACATCAGTGACAGTGTAACCATTTCTACTGTCTGCTTACAACACTCGATACAAGATGAAATGGAAACATAAAAACTGCTAGCTTTGCTGGTGACTTATGATCCACTTCTAAGCTCTAGTGTAGATCTTGTTTGTAATTCTCTTGTAGCTGAGTTATGTGCTTCCTGTGCACTACTTAGTTTATAAACAGATGATTAAGAAATACATGCTCAGATACGAGCTATATGCCTATTTTTTTTTCCTTCAGAAGATGTAAACATCTGCTTAGAAATCTCCCTCCGAGGTTGATGAGGATGATAGGTGCCTCACCACCTCAGCTGTCTTCAGCCTACTGAAATTCATCAACTATATAAAAAGTCCAGACAGGAAACCACAACATACTTAACCGAAGTTTCAGATGGGATGAATTAGTTAATGTTTTTTTTTTTTTAACATTTACAAGAGAAAACGAAACAAGAAAAAGCCCTCTAAAGCAAACAAACCCTTCTGAAAAACTTGGATATTCTTTTTAGGCATATTTTCTTAACTGTGAAGTTTGTGGCTCAAGAATTAAAACAAAATTTTTTTGTTTCAGTGATAAAATACATAATACTGAAGTACTAGGATAGCTACATGATCTCAGTGTAGTGCTTTGGGGAGCAGTCAGACAGGAAATACATCATCACAGGAAAATTCATTTTACCTATTGTTTCTGCTCCATAGCAGGTATTACGTGAGAATGACCAACTCCACAGAACCACACAATGGAGCGTGATTTTATACCTCGCTGGAAATGACCATTCATTTCTCAAGCTCTCTTCTTTCTGAAATGTCTACTCTGCTATTTCCCTAAACTGCCAACAAATAACTCAAGTGTTCCACCAATCCAAAGGTCTCTGTAATTCTCCTGCTACAAGCAGAGGGTCGGAATAAGGAAAACCATATGGCAAAGTTTGTTTTATGGAAATGCAGCTTTATGTGTGTTTTAAAACTTCTTGCCAAAAGCTGTGAGAACAACCTATTTACTAGGGGCTCATGTTCAACATGGTAATCAAGTGTCCTGGGTGTAGAAGAATTACCAGGACTCAGGTTTTTTGTTTTTAAATTTGCATTTAATTTTATGTGTATGGATTCTGTCTACATGCATATTATGTGAACCATGTATATTCCTGGTACCCAGACTCCAGAAGAGGGTGTTAGATCCCCTGGGACTGGAGTAAGATACGGTATGAGTGCTAGAAACCAAACTTGGAGGCTCTTAACCAGTAAACCATCTTTCCAACCCAAGGATTTTGTTTATTTTTAAAGAACACTCAAGAACATAGACTTGATGCAGTTATCCCAAGTAATATCTTTTTATTGGTATAAAGACCAATGTTGGGGGAGGGGTATGATGCTGTATCTCACAGTTAACAAGGACCATACTATAGATGCTGACATTTCCCAAATGTTTTCTCTCCCTCAAAGTGTTGGGTGTATAGCTCAAGTCGTACTCTTCCTATACCACCTCTATCCCCACTTCATACTCAGACACAACAGTTTATGCTGACCTTTTTTTTTTTTTAACTTTATTGTTATTTTATGTGCATTTTTTTTTTCTGCATGTCTGTGTGATGGTACCAGATCCCCTGGAACTGGAGTTGCAGATAGTTGTGAGCTGCCATGTGGGTGCTGGGAGTTGAACCCAGGCCCTCTGGAAGAGCAGTCAGTGCTCTTAACCACAGAGCCATCTCTCCAGCCCATAAAATGCTGACCTTTTTTTAATACTGTCATATTGAACCCTATTTTCAAATACATACACATAACTTTGAGGTATCACTTAGTTCTATCTTATTTAGAAATCAGCAATAACAACAAAAAAATTGCAATCTGTTCTATCAGGCCTATAGTGGTTTGAATAATCATGGCCCTTATAGGCTCATTTATTTGAATGCTTAGTCACCAGGGAATGGTAGTGTTTGAAAGGATTAGGAGGTGAGGCCTCATTGGAAGAGGTGTGTCACTGGGGGTAGGCTTTGAGGTTTCAAAATCCCATGCTCATTCTCAGTTTCTCTTCCACCCCCACCCCAACTCCCAGCTTGCAGATCGGGATGTAGTTCTCAAATACTTTTCTGGCACCATACCATACCTGCTGTCATGGTTCCCACCATAACAGGCTAACCCTCTGAAACTGTAAGCAAACCCCAATTAAATGCTTTCTTTTGTAAAAGTTGCCTTGGTCTTGGCATCTCTTCACTATAGCAGAACAGTGACTAAGACAAGGCCCTTAAATAATATGTAAAAGTAGTCAATATTTTCAAATGTAGGCACCCAGTGTTGAGATTATCTACTGTCTACAGATAAAGACTACAGACTTATAGACCCCTGGCCTAGTCATGGGAATTCCTAGTAGCCTCACTCGCAAACAGCCCCCAAGTGCTCAGTGCCTAAATTAAGGCTCATCACAGTTGGGCAGTGACTTATACCTATAAAACCCATCCCAAAGCCAAACAAAGGCAACACTTATTTGGTGACACTTTTGCTAGAAGAGCAAGACAAGGCAGTCTACAGAAGCTGCGTCTGGACATACATAAGTGAATGATAACTAATGATTTGCAATGAGGAAGGGAAGGGAGACTTGAGCACCCATTGGCCCTCATTACACTACTGTCTCTACTTAAACTCTTGAAGACCTGTACTCTCTCTCCCTTTAGAAAAAGTAAAAATATGAACTGCCATGAGGTCTTATGGCCCAAGCTTGCAATCCCAGCCTGCCTGGGTAATCTAAGGCTAGCCTGGGCTAAAATGTAAGACTGTCTCATTATCTCCCTTGCCTCACATTTACAAAGTACTATTTGTATGAAAAAAGAGGAAGACGGGGAGTTAAAAAAAAATGTAATTGGGAGAAAAATAGGGCCCTGAGGAGGCAAATTCGTGGAATCAGGAGTGGCAATATTTTATGGACCGCATATAGACCCCAAAATTCAATACAACAGACTACAGGGTCTAGAGTGGATGAGGAGGGCTCTAGTTATCTGCAACTGTGTTTGTCACCCTAAGAAGTCATGAGTCTACACTCTGCAAACAGAAAGGTGTAAGTGCTAAGATCTGCTTCTATTAATAGTTAGATGAGAAAACATGAGATTTCTGCTACCATGTATCAGCCTCAAAAAAGTTTTCATCTAAACTTTTCTAGACCATGCCACCCAGATCTCTAAGTACCACGCTCATCTCTTTAATCTCAAAGTCCCAGTGACTTGGGGAGGCGGGGATGGATATCACTCAACTCTAATTTGTCATACAGGACTTCAAATTTTGACCTCCATCTCACACAGCTTCAAGCCTCAATAACAACTTTCCATGCATACAAGTACAGTCAGTATAAGAAGAATCTTCTTCCAGCATGAGGCTTTATTGAGAAGAAAGTGATATGCTAATGGAAGTCAAAGAAAAATACTCTCCTAGAGATCATCCTGGCACAGAAACCATCCTCTGCCCAGTTTAGAAATGAAAAGGAAGGGAAATGAACATTTTCTGAACACTGGTTCTGCATGCATGCCAACGTACTGCATTACTATGTATTCATAACAGTACTGCAATACAGACACTGCTGTCTCCATGTCTGCTGGAAAGAAACAGTCAACTCCGTATTCTGGATCAGCCCAAGGCCACAAGGCTGAAAGGAGGCAGGAATAAAACCAGCCTAAATAGAAATTGGTACCCTAGAATCTGAAACTTGCAAGTCAACAATAAAAGAAGCAAAAGTAGTAGACTTTACATTCTGTACAAGGAAGGGGCTGTATCCTCTACAGGACACGTGCCCATGTGGGTGCCTAAAAACAGAAGATGCACACTTACCATTGGTAGACAATAAAAACTGGGCAGCATTTTTCTGGGGTAACCACCTAATTTTGTTGATCTTCTCTTCTATTTCTAAGCTTTTCAAGTAGTCAAATTCTGGCTCATGGCTCTGGAAGGTGCTGTAAACATTGTATTCTCCTCTGCTATGAGACTGGATTTTGTTCTACAACAGAAAAGAAAATATTTGGACTATGTTGAAATATGTATCTAACCATAATCAACTCCAACAGACTTTGGAATTGTCGGTGAGCCCATCAGGCAGCTCTATCTTACATGTTATTATACCATTTCCTGTATTTAAAGTCCTTCAAGGAGCAAGAAAGCTTTACAAAGAATAAACAAGAAACACTTCAAAGAGTGGACCAAATACAGACTAATTTGATTAACTTGCATACTAAATACCATGGTTATACCGTTAAGAAATCTGAACACCCACAAAATGGATACATCTAAAATGTAAAAGTTAAGGAGACAATGCTCAGAAACAGCTGGCTGGAGCACGTTTTGTCTGCCTTGTTATCTAACGTGATTGGTATTGTTCTGAGGCCTCCTTCCTATATTTTACTGTTGAAAACCCCTTAAGAAAGGTGCTCTCATAAATCCAACAACACCATGTGACTCTTACCACCCATCCTGAGAACACTGTTAGAGAGAACTCTGCTACCAATCAAGTATGTATCAGCACCCTGGCGATGCCTGCCTGAACCTCTGCTACACAGCTTACTCTACCGAGTTCTGATCACAGGAACCTTGCACACTGATGCTTACATAGTTCACTTAGCGTCAGTCTGTTGAAATATACTGGTTCAGCTGAAGGGATTAATATGAACAGTACTTGTGAAGGGTTTCAGTTAACACCAGTACCCCAGCAAGTACAAACTATAATCAAACAATCAGAAACACTTTCATGAAAAATACTGTTGAAAAATCTTATTCAAAACAGAATTATTGGAAACTTGGGAAAATAGTTTAAATAAAAATGTAATTTTACAGATAGACCTAATCGTTTTTAATGAAAACTGAGTTATCAATTCAAACGTTTACAGCTGTAACCTGTTCCCCATTCATATCAGAAGAAAACTGTTCAACTATCTTGGAAACATACACTTTGGTTTGTTTTTCTAACAGGGCCCCCAGGACTGTTGTAACTGTCAGTTATTCTTGGACACACCAATTATCAGTGAGCGGGTCCGCCAATGTTAAGAATGAAGAGCGTACCAATAACATACCCAATTTTGGGGGTATGCTGATGTGAAAGCCAATTTTAGTCTTTGTCCCACTGCCACACTCATATGCCAAATTCCATAAGGTAAACCATGGACTCTGTATACTCAAGTATCATGTTAGAATGAATGCTGTCAAACTTCCACCTAATTTTATCCAACCAGCCTCACATGAAATAATAAATGGAACTATAATTACTATAGTGAATACTGTTTTAGCCTTTTTTATATCCTATTTAAACAAGGAACAATTGTATATAGTACTATGACTATCTAAGGCTTAACAGGGATAGTTAACAGAATCCTGTGTCACAAGTATACACACTTCAAGTACAGTGTATAGAATAAAGAGAAACTACACACTGTATTTATTAATAAAAAATGCAAACCCATGAAATCAAAATTCTCAGAAACAGAACCAAAATACCATCCTATATAGACTCCTCAAGAATCACTCAAGGTTCACACATGACCTATTACAAGCTCCCAAAACAAAATCAAGGAGGAGTCTGGTAGCTACAGACTATAAGTACCTTTTCCAAGGGAAAAGGTTTCCCACAGAGAAAACTGTATCTAAAAGTTAAAAGAAGCCACACACCACGACACTACAGAAGAACAGTGAAGAACATGGTTAACAGGCAAAATGGCCTAGCACTACTAACAAAAAGATATCTCCGGCTACAGAAATGAGCTTGCAGCCAGTCCTGACCTTTCCTCCAACACAAGAACCTGTGCTTAGATTAAGTGACCATGGCAGCAGCAGTGTTCTCTAATGACAGTGAACAAGTACGAAAAATAACAAAGTCTTACATCTTCAACATAGATCAAAGTCAGAAAAAGGCTTTCTGGGTTTCACTAAAACAGCAACAACAACAAAAAATCAGCTCCCCTATATCAGAGAATTATGATGCATTCTAAAATGTATTATGCTTGGGATTTCTTCCATTGCCTTTCTTTTCACATCCCCTTTTTCTTAGTTTGCTTTTGATCACAAGAAATCTATTCTTCATCAGATGCTCTATTTGTGTGAAATCTTCTTTAACAAATGTACAGGTGGTTTATCCTCAACAGTAGCAGCCAGAAGAATGAATAAAAGGGAATGCTTGGGGCAGAAAAGGGGGCTCAGAAGTGCACAACAAGCCACAACGAGAGACAGAGAAAGAGCTTCCGAGGGAAGCGCCAAGACCTACTTAGATTCACTCCACACAGCACATTCCCAAGAGTGAAAACAGAAAAGAGACAAGACAAGAGAAGAAGCACCTGTTCTAACAAGACTCAGAGTACAGTGAGGAAGGCAGAGCCACACTCAACAGAGACAAGGAGAGACACAAACAAGGCACACACGCCAAGAGGGGGGCCAGGCTTGGATTCTGACCATGAGAGCCTTGCTGTGCAGCATCCACTGGCAACCAGGTCCCTATCTCAAGCCAAAAAACACATTACAGACACAAAGGTGAGTGAGCAACCATAATTTGAAGACACTCTGTTTTCTACCTGCCACATGTGAAGCACTGGCCACACACTGAACACCCAAAATATGGCGACTATAATCAAAGGGAAATTCACTCACTCCTTCATTCACTCCAGTTTTGCTACATAAACCAGGATTGCCTCAGACCTGTGATTCTCCCCTATCAGCCTCCCCTGTGCTGGATTACAGGTATGCACCACAATTCTTTGATGGGATTACTGTCTTGCTAGTTCATTCATTTTCCAGCTTTTAAGATGGGTTTATCAGTTACTTGCGTGAACAACTCACCACTGAAAAGTCCAACCCCCATCCATTTTTGCATCTTCCATACTTCAGCATTTCTAAGATGGCATCCCATTGTAGCAGGAGAGCATAGTGCCAAGAGTCTCAGGTAGAGGCCTTGGGAATATCAGCAGCCTCATTACCACAGCTCTAACTATTGTATGGTATTTTCTCTTCACTTCCCTACCACGACTACAGGGAGCTGGCTTATCTATTCTCTCTCTCTCTTTTTTTTGGTTTTACAAGACAAGGTTTCTCTGTGTAGCTCTGTGCCTTTCCTGGATCTCCCTTTGTAGACCAGGCTGGCCTCAAACTCACAAATATCCACCTGCCTCTGCCTCCCGAGTGCTGGGATTAAAGGCATGCGCCACGACCGCCCGGCTGGCTTATCTATTCTTTAATAAACTGAACTGCAAATGGCCACATGACCAGTGGCTACACACTAAACAATATAGCTCTAAGTCACCAAGGGAGTATCATCCAGGATCTTGTGGCAGAAAAGTATTTCCAACTGAATTCATATTAATAACCTGTTTATAGAAATATACTGTCCAGTGCCGGGCGGTGGTGGCTCACGCCTTTAATCCCAGCACTCGGGAGGCAGAGACAGGCGGATCTCTGTGAGTTCGAGGCCAGCCTGGTCTCCAAAGCGAGTTCCAGGAAAGGCGCAAAGCTACACAGAGAAACCCTGTCTCGAAAAACAAAAAAAAAAAAAAAAAAAAAAAAAAAAAAAAAAGAAATATACTGTCCAGTAAAAGAAAAGGCAAGCCAAACCATGGGACACACTGTCAACTAATGTACTTTACGATGAGTTCTTGTATAAAGTATACAAAGCCCATAAATCATTTAAAAAAAAAAAAAAAAGACAGCCCCAAAAGCTTACTGGAGTTTTTAAAACCGTTTACTCAAGATGATATCCAAAATTCACTAAATATGTTAAGTCTCCCAGGTGCTGAGATAGGTACGTGACACCATGCTTGTCTCTCAACCTCAATGCACCAGCAACAGTGCTGCAGTAATATATATTACACACACAGCGATATCAGCCACCTCTCATATACTCCCTCTCTTATCCCTGTATCACTTCTTTCTTTCATCCTTATCCCCTCTTTTTACTTAATTGCAACTTTCCACAGATTTAATAATCTTTAAAATCTGTAGACCCTAACATTATCCCAACTTTCCTTCCTCAACTTTCATTTTTTCTTCAAAGTCAATCTAATATTTATTTCTTATGCTTGCTCACCCTATTACTCCTAATCTTATTAAGTAAAAATTTAAGTGTAATTAATCACACTATTCCTGGTTACTCACCTTCCAAAAGCTATGAAAGTAAAAGAGGCCATTATTACTATCACCATACAGCTGTGGCTCAACTCCCAGTTAGTCCTGCTTGGGGAATAGCCCAGCTCTTAAACCAGGCACCCTGAACTCCTAGAGTGAACACACTCAACTCTACCACATTCAAGTCCCATTTGCAGAACTGCTCCAAAACTTAGTCATTGTAATGGCACCTAATGAGAATAAATCAGATGTAATCCCAGACAAAGAATTCAAAATAGTGTTCAAAGGCACAATCAAACAGTTGAATGAAATAAGGAAGGCAATGGATAGGAGCCAAGAATTCAAAGAGAAACACTGATGAAAAACTAATCTCAAATGCGGGAAATAAAAAGTCCCATGAAGTCTCAGCAATAGAACAGATCAAAGAAGACAGGGTATCTGAGTTTCTTGAATACAGGGTGGAAGAATCAGAACATCCCAACTATGAAAAGGATAAAATAATGAAGTACCAGTGAGAATTACAAGACACACATGGCACTCTGAAAAGAGCCAAGTCTAAGGCCATACTTAGAGAAGAACCTTGTTCTAAAGGCACAGAAAATATTTTTAAAAGATCAGAAAAATTCTCAGAAAGAAGTGACACAGGAGGCATTCAGGACACAGACAATCAAAGAACATCCCTCATCAAGCCATCATTCAAACACCAAATACACAAAACAAAGAAAGTAATCTCAAAGCAGCAAGAGCAGAACAGCAACTGAAACTTGCAAAACCAGAAGGTCTCAGCTCTGAAAGTACCAAATGCCATCCAGCAAGCTATCTGTCATAACAGAAGGAAAAACAAAAATTTCCCACAATGAAAATAAAAGTTGGGCTGGAGAGGTGGCTCAGAGGTTAAGAGCA